ATGATGTTAGGGTTTCAATTTGGGCTTTTGTGGTCAGATCCTGGCCAGGAGTCTTGGAGTGACAGATGAATTTTTGGGGTGCATGTAACTCATCGAGCCATTCCAGAGCTTGGTGTCACTCTACTCTTTTCATTCTTTCTACTGCTTCATTGTCTGCCTCCTCTGTTTGGGTCCGATGGACCCAGGCTTTTAATATGGCCTTTGCAGCTTCCTTTGTCCTGGCTTCTCTGATAGCTCTCCAGTTCCACTTGGTTTTGAAGGGTTTGAGCCAAGTTGTGGGGCTCTCTGCCCCTGTTCGGCCCATAGGCAATTGAATCTTTTCTTGCGATTCATGGGTGTGTGGAGTAACTAGGTGGGGTATATTCAAATGCATACATATCGGTGTCATATTTGTAACTACAGAGGTACCATAAGTCCGACTAGCTGCTATGGGGAGCACACCTATTGGTCCTTTGGCCAGCTCAGCAGAATTGCTCACTGACTGGCCAAGTCTTTTACTTCCTCAACCTTTATTTCCATGCCAAGCTCTTCTTCTTCCTTCTGTAGCTCGGTGATCTGGGTGTGGATGTCCTCTCTGGTGTGCTTCTTCTTCAGGCAGTCCTTGGCCATGTGTCCCTTTTGTCTGCAGTTGAAGCACTTTCTCTCCTTCTTCATTCGGTCAATGTCCATTGGCTTTCCTGCTCCAGTGTATGTTGTTCCGGTCCCTGTCTTCTGGCTTCCATAGGCGGGGGTGGTAGAGGGTCCTGATGATCTCCCAGCAGTTTGCCCTGACTTGTTTGGGGTTGGCGGGATCGATTTCTTGGTGTAATCCTGCAACATCAACAATTCCGCTTTCTGCCTTTGTTGCTCCTTATACATCTCAATGATTTGTTCTTTCCATTCATCGTATCCAACCAGCATCAAGAGTTTGACACCCATCACTGAAATCATCATGAGGTATGAGAAGGAGACTCCTCGTTTGAGTGCCTCAACCATCCTGCCATCATTCACGACATCATCCTGTATTCTGGCCAACTTGGCGAGTCTTTCCAACTCGTTGAAGTAATCTGTCACCATCTTATCTCCCATCTTATACTCCTTGATCTTCTGCTTGTATACTTCTTGTACCACCAGATCAATAAATTTGTCGTTTAGCATGCATTTAAAGACTGGCCAAGAGGGATAATGGTAGTGGCTCCTCATGGTTGATTGGAAGTTCAGGGAGATAAGGATCCACCATGTTTTAGCCTTGTCTTCTAAATAGAAGGTAGTGAAGGCGACCTTGTTCATGTCAGTTCCTAGGTATCTGATGTAGACTTTGAAGTACTGTTCACAGTCTACCAGGAATCTGTCAATGTCATCTGAGGCTCCCTTGAAGGGACAGGGCTTTTGGAGGAGGTCGGGGTGACACTGAAAGACATTGGCATTGTCAGGTAGGGTGCCCATTGGGTTGGGTCATCCATCAAATGGCGGTTGATGCCATTCCTCTGGTGGTCCAGGGAAAGAGTGTAGAGATTGGTCGTTGGCAATTGGGCTCCCTTTTGGTTCCTCGACTCAGATGATTACCCCATCTTGTACTGTGAATCTGAGGTGAATGGCCTCAGAATCATCCCACATTGGTTCCTTCCCTGTTCCGCTTGTTTTGGCCTGGTCTAGTGGTGGTTGTCCCCCTAAAAGATGGCTTCCTCTGCTGGTCCAAGGATTCGGGGGTATTGTTGGCCTGATTTGGAAGCGAACTAGCCAGGTTGCTGTGGTCTATACCAAATAGTTGGAGCTTGAAAGGGTACTTCAGACCGATGGGGCCTGATATATGGCTCATCTTGGTGTAATGGGAGGAGTCTGCAGCATTGGTCATACAATGAGTGGTGCCTGATAAGCTGGCAGCCAGCTGATCAGGTACTCAGAGTGTCGTTGATTGTATTGCTGGATGGTGTATTCCATCACCTTCCATTTCAGAACTTCTGTTCGTTCATTAGTAGCTGAATGCAAATATATTTGTCCCATTGGTGATGCTACCCAATCAGCATCTCACTATAAGAAATTTACCCCATGCAGGGAATACTCCTGGTATTCCTGCATCTGCTCTTCCTGTGCCAACTGGTTCACCTCTTCTTCATCAGTGTCTTCCTGCAAGTCATAGGGCAGGCCCCTAGGTGGCTCACTGCTCTCCATTTCTTCTTCCTCATCCTTGTTGACCTCCTCAAGGGGGGAACCAATGGGCTGGCCATAAGAACTCTTGACCTCTTCTTGCCATACTGTCATCATGCTGCCCTGGCTGGGTGCTCGGTCCAGCAGCTGGAGGACCTGGTGGATAGTTGTAGGTGGGAGCTGGCTGGCTGCTGATATTGGAGTTGTAGCGGTTCTCACCCATTGCTCTCACTGCCTCCACTTGCTCACGATAGAGGTGGATGTTTCACTGGTAGTCATTGTTGTTGACAAGTTGTCTGACCACTCTGCTCCTAAGGAATCTCTGGAGTGCTTGAGTGGGGACATGGGCATTTCCAGAGACTCGAAGCCTGTAATGTCTGAGGATGGACTCATCACTGTCAAACCTGGTGTCGGCACTGGGTGTTCTTCAGGAAGGGGGATATTAGAGGGTCGGGGGCCATGGGGAGGATTCTGCAGTGCTTCCTTCAGCTGCGCAGGTTTCCTCTCTGTAGCAGCGCTCACTCCAGACACTGATTCCAGAGCTTGGTTCTCTGAAGATGGGGGATGAGCAGAAGGGAGTGGTTTGTACCAGGGTGAGTATGCTGGCGACTTCGGGCCATAGTCCATACCAGTTGGAGACATCAGCACAGGCCAACCACCTCCTCTCTGTTTCTCACTGCTGGTCTTGGTTTCGCTCATCATACTCAGCAGCCTCCCTCCTCTGTCAATCCTCTGCTGCCTGCAGGTCCTCACACTCACCATGTACTGGCTGCGGCTCATTCCACTGCCTTCGTTCTTCTTGTCAGATGGCTGTGTCATAGTTGAAAGGGACAGTGAAGTCCCAGATGGGGAAGTATCAGTGGACGGTCTCCTCCCACACTCGTCATTGGTCTTCCTCAGTTTGGTTACCTCCCATCTGGCTGCTGTGCTGGCTGGAAGCAGGGGTGCTGTGAGGCTTCTCAGCAGGTGTTGTGGGTTGGGATCCTCGAGCCATCCTAGGGGCATTGAGAGAGTCCCAGGCATGGTTGGCAATCCCATGGGTATGGAGGGCAGAAGAAGGGTCAGGGGAAGAGGACTGCTCGAAGAAGTCCTCAGACAGGTCCTGGTCTTCTCTGTGAAGGACAGCATCTGGTACAAAGATCCTCTGCCTTCCTGGGATGCTAGCATGCTGGTTTCCAGGTCGAGGGGATTGCTGTCCTCTCGTTTCTTCCTGACCATCCCTTGGATAAGGGCTGCTAGGCCCAGCTTCTGGGGACTGGTGGGTCGTTCTTCTTGATTTGGGGATGTCATGAAGTGGGAGGTTGGGGGTTACATTTTGTAGTATGGTCTGGATGTGTTGAAACTCATAGTAATGTCTGAGGGCTCAGGCAGTGATTGAATGGCATCTCCGGCACAGCTGGATGATCACCAATAATCCTATCAATGTTCTGATGATGGAGGAGAGGAGTTTGAAGAACTCATGGTCAAAATTCAGGTCAGTAGAGGTTGCAGGGGGCATTCAGTTTCTTAGCACAATTGGGCTTGAGAAAGGGAAGCTAGAAGCTTCGAGCTAATTGTTAGGCTCAAGCAACACATGATTAGCTAGCACATGATAAACTAACATGGCTTTGTATTTGAGCCTTCCATCAGAGTCCACTTGTGTAGCAGCTGTAGTGTTTCAAGGCTTTATAGATATAGCTTGAGAGTAGGATGAGTGTGTATAAACTTTAGCTCAAAGCTGGGTTGCAACCAGTGAGAGCGAGCTCCTTAAATACTGTACAGACTGAACTAATAATAATGCTGGCTAATTGTGTACTCCTCTGGCTGTTGTGCTCTTTGTCCTTGGTCATCACGACCATACATAAAAGTAATTGTGTGTCATCGAGCAATGAGCGGGTGGATGGCTTGTGATGACTAAGCCTTTCCCACTCTCTTGATGGTTCGTCCTTTCTGGGCTCTGACTAAGCATACATAGGCGAAAAAAGAAAGGAAAAAGGTAAAATCGTAACAAATCTGAGTATCCTTTCATACCTAGGAGGACACCACACTTCCATGGTCTGGTGGTAGGCTGTGAGTGCTCCTCAAAGATGTTGTAGTTTCCAGCTGTGATTCAGCCAGGCCAGTCACCGTAGATGATGATTTCAATTCGGAGATGACGAAAATAGAGGGATTTCGATATGTAATTGCACTATTTACGTGTACAATCTTGAGAGCATGGTGCGTTCAGTTTGTATTGAGGGCGGAGATGGACGGAGCAGAGGAAGGGTAGACCGGTGCTGTGATTGCAGCGAACGGACATGGACATAGTAAGATAGTAAGAGCATCAGACCTAATGAAGTGATGGATAACTGGGGGGGACTTTTGAACTGATATATATAGGTTATGGCGCTAGACTTGGGACTAGTAGCAAACAATAAAAGGACAGTAGTGGTCGTGTCAGTTTCGTCGACTTGATCAATCTTATTCACTGGGTTCATCCAATTCGGCTACGCGAGCATACCATCTTCATCTGAATCCGCCGTTCCGTCCAGCAGTTGGTGCGGTGGTCGGTCATACTAGCGGTAGAGTGAGGACCTCAGGTCGGCGAGATGCCCTCTTCGGTGCAAGCCATCTGTGTGTTTCGAAGAGTCAGTTTCAATTGGGCGAAAGGTTCCGTCCGTCACCTGGCGTAGGTCCCTCTTCAATGATGCGAAGCGCCCTGTAATTCCCTGCTGAATGTCGTTGAGCTTGATTGAGCCTAGCGAGTAAAGTTGGGCCGGAATTGACCATGGTCGATTTTCGGTTGGTTTGTTTGATAACAATAGGCATGAGTAGATGTGGTTGATTAGAGAATAGAGGTTATAAATATGAGTGGAGTCTTAGGACTGGGGAGGAATGGGATCGTTGATGGTTGTTGTTGTTATTGTTCTTAACTCGCCCCTGGTTCGATAAAGCTCCCAGAGGTTATGCCTATAACAATCCCAAAAGGTCGGTGCCGATTCAGACTGCCAAGTCAGCCAATTCACTATCTCCGCGGGAAGTGGAAAGAAAGAACGCGCGCTTTTTTGTTTTGACATTTCATAAACGTGTTTATGACGGGATCTAAAGGTCTGACAAACGCTGGAAGCTGATCTTCACAAGTGCACGCAACGGGGATCTCATAGTCCTCGTTCTCCGCGGACTAACCCCCCCCCCCCTCCTGCCGCAGACGATATCTATAAATCGATTACCATAGCCACTGGTCTCAAACGCATGTAAGCGATCGATCCATCAAACCGCAAAGGAATTCCAGAAACGCACAAGATCTCGACTCGTCCTCTTCGCACGTAGTAGCCATCGTCCACTCGGCCTTTTCCCAGAGAACCCGCTCCTCTCTCGCGTCACGATCCCTGAACGGTTCTGTCTCTCTCAGAAAGACGACCCGACGGTCCTCAGCCGCAGTGAGCAACTGTTCCCGGGTGTCGCGGGGATCATCCGTGAATAAGAGTAATAGCACGCAGATACGTAATTGCGTGCAGTGTTGTAGGATGGACGCTACGAAGGTGCATATCCGCGCGGCCTTGGACGCGTCTACGGGCTGCCGGACGTCCAGTGCGAGATGCGTGAGAGTGCGGAGCGAGTTGAACCCCGACCAGGCGGTCCAGTCCGTCGAGTCGTTCACGACGGAAAGGTGCGTCAGCCGGGAATAGAAGGGCAGCTTGAGCTCGGGGTAGAACCCATGGAGGATGGTGGGGAACGAGACGGAGAGGTGCGTGGGGCGGAGGTTCGAGACGGCTGTCCCGAGCCGTTCGGGCGAGTGGCAGCTTGGATGGCACTGGTGTTGGGAGGTCGGCACGAAGAATATCGTTAGGTGCGTTACGCGCGCGCAGGCGGTCAGGATCTTGACGATGCGGTCCGTCTCGGAGTGGATGTCGACGGATAGGTAGAGCGACTTGACGTGGTCGAGGAAGAAGTCGTGCTTCTTCTCTTTGGTGGTGCGGAGGAAGTTGCGGATGGTGCTTTCGCGGTGGAGGCTGATGGCGTGGTAGAGGATTGGGTCAACCCTGTAGGGGTCGCGTCAGCTGTTGTGTTGTGGATAGATTGTTCGTTGGTACTCACCATTCTCGAGCCCAGGTTGATACCCGGGCTAGGTTTAACGCGACGTGTCTGTCTGCCCTAGCGGCGTATTCGAAGAGTTCCCGGAGGATGTCCAGTGGGAGTTTTGGCTCCTCTGTGCTCGTCATCCCCGCTCTACGCAGAAAGCGCTTGCTGGCGTACTGTAAAGGAGCGCCAGACCCGTTTTGGTTGCTATTAGTATTCGTGGAACATGTATGGTTGTGTCATGGTTATTTGACATCATATTTGTGCGGTTAGTGATACGCGACGTTCTGCGCGGACTCCGTGGAGGTAGATGCAGAGGATCGATTTCGGAAATGGTCCATACGGACCTGAATTGGAAATATCAGGAAATTAAACAGTTCGAGTGACATTTGTCTTGGCCGGGAAGCGTATACGCTGCAAAGTTCCTGCGTATGCTGGGAAAAGTCCTGGAGAGACGATCAGTTACAAGATCTGGCGTGGCTTAGTTAGGAAAACATATCGACCGGAGAGGTAAGGTACCCGATGGATTTAACCGCAGAAACGTGGAAGGAGAAGCTGGGTCAGAGCGGGAATCCGGAGCCGGAACTCCGGAACGTCAAGATCGAAATCGATCTATAGAAACACTCGCGCTATGTATCAAACACTGGACTGGCAAACAAGTTCACCAGTACATTTTCCCAAATGAAAGAGCGCTTTGGGTCCTGAGGCGCATCCGTAACCGGTAGATTTGTGCTATTTCATACGGTGTGCATGGTCTGTGGTTTAATCTGAATCTGATGGCTGCTGTGCTCACCTGAACCTCTCTGGGTTTCTTAGTCATCAAAGCTTAAACATAAACATTTAAACTCTGAAGACGAACTCTTGACCAAATTTTCTGATACCGTCTTGCGCGTCCCATCGTGCCTTGCCGATGGTAGATGGTCGATCTGCAGCCAGTACTCTGCAGGACTACATTCCAGTCACTGATCATCGTCCGGTATGCATGTATATATAGTCTTTCCCACATTCTCCCAACAGGACATTTGTCGACACTGGGAAAATGGCCGATGAGTCAGGCTTGTTTGCAATTGAAGTGAACGATGGAGAAGCCTGGCTGCATCTATAATATCAAGGCGTAACAGTTACGACTAACCTTCCCTATGATTCAAGTGCGAGGACCCATCAGAGGAGCACTCTACTTACTTGAGGAGGTTGACACGTCACATTTTTATGATGGCACAGACTCCGTCGAAATGCGACTCATCATTGCTAGATGGAAAGCTCTTGCAAACGAGAACTTTATAACGAGCGATCACGATCAAAGCCGAAAATCTGACTTATGTAGGATTAAACAATCCTTGAACTCGGGATCTATAAAGAGAATTTACAGGTCAACAAACTGGGGACTGACGAGATCCTGAAAGAGTCAAGGAAGAGACAAGGGCATACTTTGCGAACGGTTACCATCGTCCTTCTGGTGATCGACTGCAAAGGAGCGAAATTGTTAACTGTTGACGGTTACCACTGCCTCATGGACCTCGTCGCCAATTGACACGTTCAATGCGCCGTCGTACTACAAGGAGTAATATGGGTGAGCAGGAGTCATCTGACCACGACGTTGACTAGTTTCTTATCTTTTTTTCTAGGAAGAATTACTCGGACCGTGTGCTGATTGACGACGAACCTGAAAAAAGGAGCTAAGATTCCCGCATTTACGTCCATCATCGTCGACAGCGCCACCTCGGGTGGATCTTGCAACTGAAGCAAGCATTGTAGATGTAAATGGGGCCAAGACACGACCGTTATCAGCCATCATGAAGGCTCTTTCTCGCACGAAACAGGGCGTTCAGGTGCAGGTCGAATCTTGCGACAGACCCATATTCACCGGTGCGCCCGTCGGGAGTTTACACTTGGCTGTAACATCCGCGTTGATGTTGGTTGGGCCCGGACACCGGGCCGGAGGTGCTCGTGATTTGATTACATGCACAGATTTTGAAAGTTTCTTCTTTTCCTACCAAAAAGGAACTCTGTGCTGCGTACCTCAACCCTCCTTGGTGTAAGACGCTCTCTCATTGTGAAGGATATATGGTGACCGGCCGTGTTAATATAGGTCTGCTGCCAATGGCCCTTGTGCATGACGAGTCAATGCTCTCACTGCGGCTTTGTATTGTGAAGCATCTATAGCAATTGGCCTTGTTGGCTTCAAATGGCTCTGGGACAGTGATCCTCCCAGAGTGACCCTTTGTTTGGAAGAGTATGGCGCCCCTCCCTCGTGCGAGAACTTTGTCCAGGTCGAAAAATGTGTGTATTTCTTGTTCTCAGAACGCCATTGTGCTGAAGATTCGGCCCAGGACACGCGCGCTGCGGTGGCACGTACACCCGCTATTGTCGCGTTTTTTTATTGATGCCACTGTACCGACCTGTTATATATATATGATCTATTCGCACCTCTAGAGCGTTATTGACCTCGAAGCATGGCGAAGACCCATCACCGACGTTCGTCGTCCTCTTACACACTCTACCTCCCACCTAACCACGTTGGCGTCATCGAACCTGGGTATGTGGCTCGGACGTTCCAGTTTGGAACCTCGAAGTGCGCTACGCTCCTGCGCGAGGATGTCGTCCTCCCGCCGACGCTCAACCAGCAGCAGCACCAGCAGCCTTGTACATATCACGCGTTTGAAATCCGGCATACTGGGCCCAAAGGCACAGGCCTAGGGATGTTCGCTCGCAGCAGTGGTGGAGGTATACCCGCCGGAGGCACCGTCCTCGTCGAGCACCCGCTCCTCGTCATGCCGCATCGTCGTGGCTCGTTCGCGATCGCGTCCCTCTTGGAGATGGTGGACCCCAAGGGAAAGACAGAGCTGATGAATTTGGCGAATGCGTTTCCGCTGGAGGAGAAGCTGGGGGGGATTGTGCGGACGAATAGTTTGGTGGGGATTGAGATGGGCGGGGGGGCGGAGGAGGAGTATCGGGGGGTGTTCCTGAAGCTTAGTAGGTGTAATCACAGGTGTGGAATCTCTTCTGTCGTCGTCGTCATGATACTGATCGTGGCTCGTTGTGTAGCTGCTCGCCGAACGCTCATTGGACATGGGACCCTGCGTCGTTCTCGCTGACGCTCGAAGCGGTCCGGCCCATCGCGCCCCACGAAGAGATAACGATCCAGTACATCGACGTGTGCGGCTCCCGCGCGCAGCGCCGAGAGGAGCTCCGGATGTGGTTCAATTTCGAGTGTGTGTGCCCCGCGTGCTCGCTCCCGCTCCACCGGCAGCAGCGCCAGAGTGATTTTGCGCGGGAGGAGCTCGCGCGCCTGATGGGGCACCTGCGTGCGGTGACGTTTGAGGAGTGGTGTGCGAGCGGGACGCTGTGGGATGGGTATTTGATAAGGATGCATCGGCGGGCGTTGGAGATCAGGGAACGGGAGGGGCTGGAGATGTTGGAGGTGAGGAGGCATGTGGATGCGATTGCGGTGTGTTATGGGGCGTTGGGGGATGTGGAGATGTTTAGGTTGTGGGGGGGGAAGGCGAGGGAGATGAGGGTGGGGGGAGGCGGGGAGCGTGCGGTTTTGGATAGGTGGATTGAGGAGCCGGGAGTGTTCCCTGTTTGGGGATGGAGGAGGAGGGGTGAGGGTGTTTGATGTTGGTATGCATCAAGGGATCTAATTATATTTCTTCTTTATGGGAAGATGCAGTCCATAGAATCCTTCGAATCATTATTGATATTCATCTGCAGTTCTCATGGATTCGCACACCTTCAATCCGTCTCTGAAAGCTGTTCTCCGTTGACAAGACGGTTATCAAACCCTGAACATATGTTTCGCCGATATTACTAGTGGTATCCTTGGCAATGAACGTGTCGTTTCTTTAACCTATCATGTCGTAATCAATTTAACATCAAGCGAGTTACGCACATGAATTGGCGCTTCTTTCCCGTGCGGTTTCTGTTTTATTCGGTCTGTGTGGAATGGACTGCAGTCACGCGTTTTCTCTCGTCGTCCCATAGATATTCTCTATTTTTCTTGACTTTCACGGCCATGTCGCGTCTTGAGACCGTCGTGCAGCAGCCGAGGACCATGTCGATCAGACAAAATCTAAATTCGGCATCAGGTACGGTCGGTTGATCAAAATAACGTTACGGATAATTTTATCGCGGTAAAAGGGCGCCTCCTATAGGCAGCTATGAAAAGAACTCACGAACGCGAGAAGAGCCAAAACAATTTCAGGCGACAATCGGCCAAACGAGACATGTGTTCCATCACTATTTAATTGCGTTCGGCAACATGTACGAGTAGGTGCCAAGCCTAGTCCAGTTTTTTTGGATATAAAGACTGAGCTTTCCTCTTCCAAGTTAACGTTAAACCCATAGCAATATACGAACTTTCGTTTCGAAGCCAGCTTGCTTGGCAGCCTCTTGTCCAACGTGGCTGTGGTCGGGCCGGTAAGACCGAATCACCGGAAACGTTTTTCTGTTCCTGACCTTGGCCACGATGCCGAATGTCTCTCCCAGCACCTGCCCTGACATCACGGCGAAAAAGAAAAAAAGATGGTGATAGAACGATCTCTTGGCCTTCACTGAGCAGCACAGATCCTCCTTTCGTTCTCTGTTTCACCGAACGACGTCTGGACGGCGGTTTTATATCTCCTTTCCATCTACAACTACCACCAACACGACCACCATCATGCGTTGGAGTTGGCTTGTAGCGTTGGTAGCAGCTACATTCTGGCGGGGAGTTTTGTGTGCCAGCCTCTCGACCGCAGAGGCCTCCAATGTCAAAGCACGCCTCGCAGAAGCCGCGCAGGAAAGGTGCGTTGCTCCCATGACCAACGTGCACGGACAGGACTAATTGATAATGATCAACGTCCCCAGCTGGGAACTCGGAACTCGCGAACAAACCCTCCTCGAGACAGATGCGACCGTCTACTCTGTCTTTTCGGACCAGTCCCTCCCTCCACCGTCGACTGTACCCGATAATATGACAGACGCCCTCGCGCCTGTGCTCTCCTTGGCCCAGGAAATCGTCGCGAACAGGAGTGCCTCCAATCATAATATATCTGGCGCCCAGCCGTTGATGGCTGACGGGAGCGCCGCGGACCCGGCGTCGAATGGCGTTGCGGTCCTCATTGCGGGGTGGACGGGCCAGGGGGACGCGGATGGGTTGAATTATACGGGTGCAGCGACGGACCAGTTGGATTTTCTGCTGAACAACGTGTCGAGGTCGAGCGATGGTGCTATTTCGCATAGGGTGTCGCAGACCCAGTTGTGGTGCGTATCCTTCTTTGGTTTTTCTTTCTGTCGAAATGGCTGATGATACCCCCATTAGGAGCGATTTTGTGTATATGGTCCCGCCCTTCCTTGCGTACTACGGTGTGCTTACTGAGAATGAGACGCTAGTCGCAGAGGCGTACAACCAGATCAAACTATATCGAGATAACCTACGGGACACTAACGCAAATAACCTCTGGCAGCACGTTGTACTCGGCGGTTCTGGAACGGATTCTGGGCACTGGTCGACGGGTATGTATCGCCCGCCTCATTCTTTTTTCCCTAGCTGATCTTGGTACAGGCAATGGATGGGCCGCTGCAGGGATGCTCAGAGTGTACGCGACGATCCAGAAATCCCAGTACGAGAGCACGTTTTCGAGCGAGCTGCAGGATCTCGCGTCTTGGGCTGTCGAGATACAGAAGGCAATGTATAACGTTGTGGTATGTCCCCTCTCCCCATTCCTTTTTTTATGGCCCACGCTGACTGTTGCCAGGACAAAACCTACATCTTCCGAAATTACGCCGACAATGAGAGTACGTTCTATGACTGCTCCTCGACCGCTCTCATGGCGTATACGGTCTACCGGCTGTACACTGTCACGGGGGATACGTCGTATATCCGCCAGGCCGAGCGTAGTCGGCAGGCTCTGTACGCGAGCGGGGTGACGTCGACGTATTCGTTATCGGCGAGCTCCACGTCCACGAGTACAGCGTCAGCATCAGCATCGACTTCGACTTCGCCCTCGACGTCTGGATACAAGCATTTCACTTCAGATGGGTGGTTGACGCCTGTGGTGAACCCACATTCGTACGGGCTAGAGGGATCAGAGAGTGCGGAGGCTCAGGCATTCGTGTTGTTGATGCAGTCGGCGTACGAGGAATGGGTTGCAGACGGATCACAGGGAAGTGGAGCCTTGCAATTGCGTGTGTCGGTTTGGGGGGTGTTATTGGCTCTTCTGGCAGGGGTGGTGGGACTGCTGTGAACGATACGATACCCCCTTTCCCGGTTTGAAGTATACTTATTACCAGTTTTTAGGATATTTTTCATGGAGATCTTTTACATATCTTTAGACGCTTACCATAACTTTTTGTATCATTGTGCTTTCGTTGTACTTAGTGGGATTGATAGATGTTGTATTTCCTTGGACGTCGCCTCCCTTAATTCGGATCGGTCATGTGACCTCATAGTCCTTCAAGCTCTGAATGTGTGACGTTAGCGATGATAGTCGGTAGCGGCACACAAGGACGAATCAAGGACCGGGTTGAAGACACCTCGATTCGGGGGGAAAAGGTAAGAAAGACTGGCGTAGTTCTAGGCACGACCAAGTATTTATACGTAGATAAGAGTGGAGTGCATAGATAAGCATAGTTCAAATAAAGTCCGGGTTTATGTTACGAAAAAGGAAGTAGAACGGGCCCGTCCATTACAGAATGTTTACCATATAGTTTTCTCCTCAAGCATACTCACAGTGCTCTCAGTTCAGTTCCACTAACCATTTTTCATGAACCTGTCCGAGATCCCGGGTTCCTGTACGACGGCAATGCTATCGTTCTAACATCATGCATCATGTTTCAAGTCTTGTACCCTAACGAGTATAAAGTCTTGAAACTGGCTTTTCCCGATGATCGGTGGACCATCGACGAACGCAGAATCTTCAGCTTGGCTTGCGGAGCGACGACAATAGCATGTTCAATGTTACTTGTAGCTTTCCATCGGGTGCCAGTGCAGATGGGGCATTGATTTATCCACAGCTTCAGATGATTCTGAACTATGTCGTCCCCGCGTGCTGTTATCTTTGAATAACTGACTACATGTGCAGGAACCAACCGGAGATGGAGATGTCTGTTTCTTTCTCTCGGACTTGTATAACGAGTTGATCACTGCTATACCTATGGTAAAAAGGGACCCTGTCGATTGGACTGTTCCCTTTTTCGATTCCTGTCTACTCCAGAATAGAAGAATGAAGTCAGAAGCTCGGACATCTAATGATTGCCTTCGTCATTATGCATGACCGTGCGATTCGTAGAGGGGGATGCTAGCTTTACTTTATGAGCCTAACTGTATGTCGACACGCTTCGGATCAATAACGGGTTTTCTCATTCATTGTGCAGCAGTCTAAGCTGTATCCCATATTTTGGAATGATATATTCAAAGGTAGATTCATTATCAGAGAGTTTGCTCGACGTCAATAACGCTTAGTGGGCAACTGAGGTGGGCGACTTCATTAATCATTCTGGTGAGTCTCGTAAACGTATGTATCGTATCGCCTATAAGTTTATTGACACATCTCTTCTATTCTATTAACTCTTCGTCGTTGTCATTCGGTTCGGTTCTATTATGACTGAGGTCGCAGTCGGCATCGAGATGGATAACCCTTAGTGCAGGGACTGAGTCGACATGGGAAACATGATGAGTCTCGTCGTTCTCGAAGCCCTGTATTTGCTCAAACTTTGACAATGTATCTTCCTCTGTTGACCTAACTAGTTTTCGTTTTGTGCGCGGCAGCTCATACGCTTCACCAGGAGATTCATCCTGGAAAGTTTCGAGTGGTTAAGCTTCTTAGAGTCTCGTGCAAAGCTTTTACGGCGGCGACAGAATGGAATCCCTTCATCAACTTCAGTGGGAAAAAAAATATTGTCCTGGGTCATAATGTATCCAGATTCAAGCTGGTTTCACAAGGAGTACCCTTAAGCCTCTTCTCCAGTCTTTCGATGTGGACGCCACGTTGATTCACAATGTTGATAATTTGTCAGGAATGCAAGTATGTTATTCTTGATGTGTTTGTACTTCAATGGAGCCCTGCGACCAGCTCCGGCTAGTCCTCCTTTTTATGAGAATTATGATACGATGAAGCATTTCATACGAAGAAATTGTACCCATCAGGCCAGTGCTACTTGACATGCTCGATATCCACTCGCTAATACCCCTACCTATGAATTTGACTCGTCGCGCAGGATTCTATTACCAAGGTTTTGATGATGGACAGGCAATAGCCGGCCGTGGTGCCTTCGTAAGGTTTTCTCTTCACTGAAAATAAGTCGGATTTCCTAATTATCGATTCTTGTATTGGAGAGGCCCGCTCCAAAGAATGGTACATATTCCTTGTGTTATAATGTACACACATATTATCAATTACCCTCGCCCTATAGTACTCCATCTAACCGGACATTCATGAGACTGATCGATGCCACCAGGCGCCAAAACGCGTACCACCCCACAAATGCCACCCCCTCGTTCACAATCGTGTGAAAACCACGGTTTTTTCTCCCCCACTTCCTTCTCATTGTCAGCGACGCTCTTGATCGAAATGTCAGGCCGAGGCGCTCCTGTTTTCCCGCTCAAGACAACTTCGATTACCAGCGAAGCCCGATCTCTAATGGAGAAGTCGTTCATGTACATGGAAATCAGAGGTGAAAGGTGGCTTTCGTGTTTCATGACTGTGATCTGGCCAAGGTATGCGAGGAATTTTCTGTCCCGGATGCCGACGCAGGCTGATATAAGTACCAACAATTAGAATCGTGCTAGACCTGGAAGGGGCGTACTCACATTTCTTACATTGTTCCTTGTGCCCTTGTTTCCAATGTGTCCGTTGACATGACCTGGAGCAGTACTGCGTGCTTTGACACTGGGAACAGCATGGCATGCTCCCTATATACGTGCGTCGGCACTAGATATAATGCAATGAGAACAAGTTGTTAATACCCAAAGGAATATAACACTCGCCGTAAAGCAGACATCAGGTAGTTTATCACATTCCTCCTTAAGGGAGGAACGATATTGAGCAAGCAATACTAGATGCTTGCAATACTGAGCTATATCCACTGTATACTGTTCAGGGTCGACAATGACACCTTTCTTGTCCAAAGAAGCGAGAGAGCGAACGACGCAGCGGGTGATTGATCTGTAAACGGTATAGTGTCTCATGGTGTCGATGAAGGCGAGGATGACAGGCTCCACACGATAAAGATATTTAATCGGGATAAAAGGCCAGATACGCAGAAGTATCTCCAAGACGTGGGTATCGACCAACGCCAAGACTATAGGGAAATTCGAGTGTGAGAGACAGGTGTTTACGAAAGATACTGTGACCATAAAATAGCTCCAAATATTATGGGTCGGAGGTAGGTCACAGGTTTTCATGATTTTGGCAGCGAGTCGTCCCATAACAGTGCACGTAAACCTTACGCTCTGCTCATGTATCATCGCGTTCGCTAGAGTCGGCGATTGACATACTCTGAGCATGAGGATCAGACAAACACTGTCGGGTTTTTTCCGATCGGAATACCCAGCACCTCCGGCGTCGTCTTCCAAAACTGCATTGAAGCAGAGTCTCGCCGTCTCCTCTGGGTTCACTTCCAACTGGGACATAACGACCGATTGCATATCCTGGGAAACGAAAACAGTAACCAACAAGTCACTTAGATTGCGGACAGCGACATGGCAGGAGGAGCGGCATGATTCGCGCCATAATTCGACAACAGGCGGATGCAGAGATTTATCTGTACAGATGATCGTGTGGTACGACGTCTGGATTTCCGGGAGACATCGGAGACAAATGGCTGTTGCAGTCATCATAGCCGTTACATCAAAGTCAGCCATCGAGTTGGAGACCAAAAGACTCTTAGAGGTGCATATAGAAATGAAGTGAAGACACCAGGCCCGTATCCCAGACCATAATTTGAGTATGTCGCCGAGATTGTATTGATATTTGCGGGCCGGTTCTAGACGAAATTCGAGACCCCTGCAGATGGCACGGAAACACGCCATAGCCATGATCGTGGAAGGTTTGGTTAACGAGTTCCTAATATTCAAAGGGACCTTGTTAGGAGAAAGGTGTCGTTCGAAGACCTCGATGTATCCCGGGAAGATCTGAGAGCCGGGTATCTTTTCTAAAACGGAGACGGAGCCATTCATTGCTTGTTTCTATCCACGGAATAAGCCGAACACGATAGAAGGAAAAGATAGCGACCCCATACCTTTCTTTGCATGACGACGTACAAGCGATGATATAGCAGTAATAGAGATTCAGAGTCGAGGCTTTGAATTAGGAGATAGAACCGAGAAAGGTAGAGACAAGAAGCAGTAGAGTGATGATACTTGGACTGAGTAATTGAGCTTTTATACAGCTCGACATTGGAACTGAGTGGCTAGGACATTATGAAAATAGAAGAAACAACGAGATGAAAGGGAACAAAGGGAATGAAAGAAGGACAATGGGGAAAATGGGGAAAGAAGGACACATGTTGGATGATGTAAGCAACATCTCTTGCTCCGCAACCAACCGCGTCGGACATACTACACAGGATTGGTAGTTATGGATGGATACTGCTTGACAATGTCGCTATACGATCAATGAGAAAGGATCGGAAAGAGCTGGAACCAGAACTAATCGGATCCTCGAAAATAATCGTGGATCGGATGAAAGACGTGATCTGAAAGCGCCCTGAAATATCATTTCCGATATTATTAAGGGCGGGTTGAGCATCCGCTCTTTCATCTTTCCTAACAATGAACATAAGTAAAAGCCATCATCATCATGTATAATGAGGAAGGCAATGATGCACTGCTCCAAAGCTTTGGTCACATTTTTGTGCTTGTCTTCCTCTTCATCCACAATACATCCAACCTCACACAGCTCTTCAGCTTCTTCGCGGTTTCCATTCGTCTTAGCATTGCGATCTGGCTTGGAGTGTTCCATATCTTCCGCAAATTGTGGGTCTACCGTCGATGCTCCCAGAGGATAGCGGAATATAATGACAGAGCCTTTGTACGCTAGTATGGTAGCTGCCGATATGCTCTGCATAGTAAAGATTCAGAGCTTGAAGGGGACGGAAAATCGACTATGAGGATGACCAGTCCAGATTAAAGCAAGCGGCATGTTACCTGCTGTCCAATGACACTACAACATTTGTCAATCCTCTCCTTGGCCATGGAGAGCACAGGCGCGAGGGCGTCTGTCATATTATCAGGCACCGTCGACGATGGAGGGAGGGACTGGTCCGAAAAGACAGAGTAGACGGTCGCATCTGTCTCGAGGAGGGTTTGTTCGCGTGTCCCGAGTTGCCAGCTGGCGGGTTGATGGTTATCAATCAATCAGTTCTGTCCGTGCACGTTGGTCATAGGAGCAATGCACCTTTCCTGCGCGGCTTCTGCGAGGCGTGCTTTGACGTCGGAGGCCTCTGCGGTCGAGAGGCTGGCACACGAAACTCCCCGCCAGAATGTAGCTGCTACGAACGCCCAACGCATGGTGGTGGTGGTGGTAGATGGGAAAGAGATATGAAAAGAGGATCTGTGTTGCTCAGTGAAGGCCAAGAGATCGTTCTATCACCATCTTTTTTTCTTTTTCGCCGTGATGTCAGGGCAGGTGCTGGGAGAGACATCTGGCATCGTGGGTGCCAAGGCCAGGAACGGGAAAACGGTTCTGGTGATTCAGTGTTTCCGGCCCGACCACAGCCACGTTGGACAAGAGGCTGCCAAGCAAGCTGGCTTGAAAACAAAAGTTTGTATTGCTATTGGTTCAACATTAACTTGGAAGAGGAAAGTATTGACAGAAGAATATGAGTGAGGATCTCAGTCAGGCACAGCATAGGTGAAACAACTGAGGTATCTGGATATCTACAGCCAGTCTATATAGGTGATTGGGTAAGGACAGGAGTAATGTATATATGATAAGTAAAAAGGGGATGATTGAAAGGTAAGATAAGGGTATAACATATGGATATCCTCCAACACTTCCCCATATCCATATCAATCCACTGGGATGATGCTCAGCATATTGAGGTAGCCTTGATGGGTATCATGAGGTAGGGGTTTGGTGAACATGTCTGCAGGATTGACATTTCCATGAATAAAATTGACCTGAAGCTCCCCATCCTTGACCAGTTCCCAAATAAAATGCCCATGGATGCAGATGTGTTTGACTTTTTGATGGGATCATATATTGGTTGTCAGCACAACAGCTCCTTGGTTGTCACCATACAAAACACTGGGTCAGGGCTGGAAAAGCTTGACTTCATCCATCCATGACAGGATCAACATCATCTGTTGTGCCACATGAGTGAGTGAAACATATTCAGCCTCAACAGTGGACAGGGCAACAGTGGCTTGATGCTTGGAACTCCAACAAATTGGTCTGCCCACTATGGTGAACATGTAACTCAAGGTTGAACAAGCAGTGTCATGACAACCACCATAGTCTGCATCTACAAATCCAACAGGAGTTAAGGGTTGGTTATGTGAGAAAACAATACTGAGATCCATGGTTTCCTTGACACATCCAAGGACATGTAGCAATGCCTTCCAATGTTCTAACCCAGGGTTAGACTAGAAGCAGATGAGTAAGTTCACAGGGAAACATAAGTCTAGCTGATTGTCAGTTGTCTCCATATGATGCAATCCAATAGTTGTCAATATGAGTAATGCTCTATCTCATCTTTCTCTGCCTACATTGTTGGTGACTGCAAGGTATTAAGTGCTATGCTGATAGGTAATGGCATGGATCATGGTGGCAAGTATCCAAGGTTGAAATCCAAAAAGACATTCTTCCAGTACAGGTGCTGCAAGAAGGTGATAGGGTCAGCCTTGAGGTCTTAGTCAATCTTCATCCCTAAAAACTAATGATTCTCCTCCACATCCATAAGCTCCCACTTCTCTTTCAGTTCCTTCTTGTGTTGACTAGCCTCTTGTGCACTCAATGATGCTCTCCATATATTGTCAGTGTAGATATCCATGATAGTGTACTCATCACCAGGCTGGTCAATGATCCTGACATAAGGGTCTGCCTTTGAGGCATGGTAATCAAGGTCCTTGTATGTTTTTCCAAGTGTTTTGAACCAGTAATGACCTCCCTGCATAGTTCTATAGATGGTATAGATGATTTTGCACATGTTCTCCTCTTGTCTCTTGACAACATATCCAGGAGGCTGCTGCATGTGGATGTCCTTCTTGGTTTCACTGTTAAGATAAGCTGAGACAAAATCCACTTGCCAGAGAATGAGGTCAAGCTTTGCAGCAACAGCAGCAGACATTTGGACAGATTCAAGATGAGTTACTGTGGTCCAGGTGTCATTGTAGTCAAAGCCATATTGCTGAGTATACCTCTTTCTAATGAGTCTTGTCTTGTCTCTGAGTCAGTTACTATCACTGTCTCACTTCATGCCAAAAACTCACTTGCAATCTATCACATTAACTCTCTCTGGCTTGTCAATGAGATTCCACATATGTTTCATCATATGCATCTGATATTCTATGTCCATTGCTGTTTTCCAATGTTCTTCATCAACATGTAGTGGATTTTGGTAGTTTTATGAGATGTATGAGTTGGGTAAGTTGTCAGAGGCCATAGATACACATGATTGTTTACTGTTTGTGTTAGGCCCAAGCATCACATGAACTAATACACATGATAAACAGGTGTCCCTTTGCACTTTGAGGGATCAGCTGAGTTCACTGACATGTATTCATATCAGTGTGTCACAAGGTCACTGGTGGACTCAAGGTAGAATAGTAGTTATAAACTTTAGCTTGAAGCTGGGGTTTTCCAGTGAGAGCTGTCCTCCTTAAATACTGTACATGGTTTGCTATTAATACTTGTACTAATTGTGTGTCTCTCTGTCTCAAGTGCTCATTGTCCTTGAGCATCGCTACTGTATATAAAAGGTTGATTGTGTGCTTGTTGTTGGGCATTGGTTGCATTAAATAACTATGACAAAGTTGGCTTGTTTATGATGACTAAGCTCTTCTCACAGCTTTAAGTGCTTGGTTTTGATGCCCTGACTAAGCCTGAATAGGGGTTTTTGAGGTATTGAATGAGAAAATCATAACATTACCCCCTTCTTAAGACTATCATCCTGATGGCTTAATTTAGGGATAGTTCATAGTCATGTATGGCTTTGTCTGCATCCATATGTTTTTCATTGACCCACTGGTTTGATTCCAGACCATATCCCTTCCAGCTAACAAGGTAGTCCACTGTCATTATCATGCCACCCCCTTTTGCCCTGATTTTGTGTAATTTGTGATTTATTACCTGATCAATTTCATAATGTTCTTCATCATTGATCAGGTCAGGTGGCAGGGGTAGAGGTCATTTCTGGTTAGGAAACACTGGTGCAATGTAAGGTGTCAATAGTGTCTTATTAAAGACATTGTGGATTTTCCAAGTGACTGGAAGGCGAAGTTTGTATAATCCTGCACTGACTTTTCTAAGGACGGTGAAGGGTCCTGTGCATTTGTTAGTGAGTTTTCATTTTGGGCATGGCAGGTGAAGATTGGTGGTATCAAGCCACACTTTGTCATTGATTGAATAGTCATGTGTAGAATGATGGTGTTTGTCATATTGCACTTTCATGGACATGGCCACTTTTTCTAGTGCTGATTGAGTTTCAGCATGTATCTTGGTCATTGTGTTGGTGAAGTTGGCAGAGGCAGGGGTTGTTGTTTGGTGGTGTTTGGTCTGGGTAACATTTGGGTGTCACCCATGATTAATGAAGAAGGGGGTTCTTCCTGTGGCCAAGTGTACTCAGTTATTGTGTTGAAAGGTGGTGAGGGCCAGCCATTCGGTCCAATCATCTTGCCTGTAGTTAATGAAGAGTCAGAGATATTTTTCGATCTCTTGGTTAACATGTTCTGTTTGCCCATTGGTTTGTGGGTGATATGCAGTGGATGTGTTTCACTTGATGTGGAGGAGTCGATATAAGTTGTCCAGGAATTTGGAAACAAATTGCGGCCCTCTGTCTGAGATGATGACTTGTGGCATGCCATATTTCATGTAGACCTCATCTCATAGGATTTTTGCTCATCCTTCTGAAGTGAGTTCGGTTGAGCAGGTGATTGGAATGATTGTCTTTGAGAAGTGATCGACTATAATGATAATGGCATCATAGCCATTACAGTCAGGCAGTCCAGTGATCATGTTCACTGAGATGTGTGTCCATGGTGTGGATGGGATTTCATTGGGATGTAGAGGGGCTGTTCAGGGTTGTGTGGAAGATTTTCCCTATTGACAAGTTTTGCATGCTTTGACATATGTGGTAATGTCATTTTCCATCTTGGGCCACCAGTATTCTTGTAGGATTAATTCTTTTGTTTTGGTGATGCCTGGATGACCTGCAGTGGCATGATCATGGCATGTTGCAATGATCTCACCACAGAGCCCTTGGTCCCTGGGGATGTAGATCTGTCCATTTTAGCAGATTAACCCTCCCTCCTTTATCAGCCTCATCTCATGGTTCAATGATGGTGCTATCCACTGGTCTCATTTATGACTATCATGGGTAGTGCTTTTTATATGTTCATGTATTTTCTCTTCCATTGGCATTATCATGGCCTGGAAGTGTTTGGGGCATAGTATCATTACTCCTTCATTGTCAGCCCCATCTTGATCATGGTCTGCCCTTCGACTAAGCAGGTTGGCCTTTTTATTGGCAGTCCCTGCCTTGTGATGAAGCATGTATTGGTACTGACTTAATTCGGTAACCCATCTCACCTGTCGGCGATTCAGCTTTTGGGGTTGTTGGAAGTACTGAAGGTTCTGATGGTCAGTCCAGATTTTGAAGGTCTTGACTGCTCCAATCAGGTAATGTCACCATTCCTCTAGAGCAAGCATTATTGTGAGCAGTTCCTTGTCATATATCTCATAGTTTCACTTGGTGATGGTGAGGGCCTTTGATAAAAATGCAACTGGTCTCCACTTGTTGTCCTGTTCCTGGGATAGTACAGCCCTGATGGCTCCCTCGCTCAAATTGGCTTCTACTCAGAATTTCCCTTCCTGCATGGGAATGGTGAGGATGACTTTCTTGGCTAACTGATGTTTTAGGTCATTGAAGGTGGCTTGCTGGGAGGAACCCCAATTCCAGGAGGCATTACTGGTTAGTTGGGTCATAGGGCAGACTATTTTACTATAGTCTCAGATAAACATTGGTAGAAGTTAGTGAAGCTGAGGAAGGATTGGAGTTCCTTCTTTTTGGTTGGTTCTGGCCACTCAGTGACACCAGTGACCTTTATGGAGTCTATGCAAATGCTTCCCTCTGATATGATAACTTCCAGGTACTCTGTTTCAAGTACTTCAAATTTGCATTTCTTGGCTTTGAGGAATAACTTGTGCCTCCTCATGAGGCTTAGTACCTGTCATACTAGGTCCCTGTGCTCCTTCTTCATCTTGGACATGATTAAGATATCGTCCAGGTAGATGGTGATCTTCCCAGTGACAATGAGGTCTTTGAATACATCATTCATCATCTATTGGAAGGTAGTGGGGGAGTTGGTGAGCCTGAAAAACATGATGGTTGGTTCAAACAGCCCTCAATTGGTTCTGAATGCTGCCTTCTATTTGTCTCCTTCTTTGATGTGGATGTTGTTGTACTCCCAGTGGATATCTAGTTTGGTGTAGAAT